GAGGGGTAGCGTTCTGTATACCTCTGATGTTATTAGGAATGATTTCGACCCTTTGACAGTGATGGAGCAACAGTATAGTTTCAAGTCAGAACGGTGTGTGACCTAGAGGGGAGCTTGCAGGTGGTAATGTTCCCACATTACTGCTGCCCTTGCCCTTCTAGATGGTAGAAGTGTAGGTTTGGTGAGCTGAAGGAGATAGCAGGCTTGTGTGGTGCATAAATTCCAGCATAGACCAGTTGGGCAGTGTGAGCTGCTGTAAATATTATGTACTTCAGTAGTTCATTTGTCACATGTTACTCCACATTTTCAGAATTTGACATAATAAGGCTCCACTTGACTTTGACTTTAATTGATGAGAAAATTAATTAAATAGTAAAAGAACAAATATACAGTAGCAATAACACAGCTTGCAATGTTTCCACAGTAGTTGCCAAGCTTAGTCATCTCTTCCTGCAGTAAAAAAATAATTTGCAAATTCTGTGGTGAATTAGAATGTATGCAAAATTCTTTTAATAGGTCTTTTCTATACCCTCTTTGAAAGGTCTGTATGAAGGCTCTAGACGAAATCCACACAGCTTAAGGAGCAGCTTCAGAAAATGAACCAAGATACAGCAAATCTGAATACTGTATCATAAAATTTACAAGCATACATTGAACAACCCTCAAAATATCCTCCATCCTCACTATCCAAGCACCAGAAACACCCACCAGGTGAAACAGTGATTTATCTGCACTTCACTCAATCTAGTCTACTGCATTCACTGCTCACAATGTGGTGTCCTCTACGTTGGGGAGACAAAATAAATGACGCTGAGCTTCTGGTTGCCTGCCTCTGTCTCAGGCTTCCTACAGTGCTCTAGCAGAGCTCAGCACAAACTGAACGAGCAACATCTCATTTTCCGCCTGGGGACCCTGCAACTTCTGGACTCAATATCGAGTTCAGTAATTTCAGAGCCTGAGCACTTTCTCCCATATCCTCACCCCAAACCTTGTCATCACATGAGCTGCTATCACAAACAACCCATTGTCACTCACTAGCAGCTAGATTGCTATTCAATCCCCATTAGCAGCTGTTCATTCTCCCAGGCTAACCTTTATCCACTATTTTGCCTGCCCAACTGTTTTTTTCTCTCTCTTGGGGTCTATCTCCAACTATTGTTTACTCCTTCCCCTCCCCCACCCCTTTTCTAGCAATATATACCAAATTTTTCTGCGCTATTATCGATTCTGAAGAAGGGTCACCAGATCTGAAACATTAACTCTGCTTTCTCTCCACAAGTGCTGCCTGACCTGCTGAGTTTTTCCAGCAATTTATAATTTTGTGTTTTAATGAACGTTTGTATTTCAACTGTTTGACTTGACCACAGCCATTCTCTTCCATTTAATTTAATTCTCAACCAAACAAACAAATGTTATAACATTTGAGGCAATGTAATCTCTGATATATTATCTGCAACTGGAGCCAAATTTTAACCACTTATGCCTAGTGATAGCACTTTCTTTAAAGATAGTCTGTATCCACTCAATATAGAAACATTTCATTTTATCAAAACTATTACATAGATACTATTGACAAGGTGAATCCCATTAACTTCTAGCTTCAAATTTGAGCCAGTGCCACCAATTTAATCAAGTGACACAGTGCAGCATAGGTCTTATATCTAAGCCCTACTGTACCTGAATCTAGTACAAAGTATATACCATTTGCCTGACAATTTTAAATATATACCAAATATTTGCTTTGGAGTGCAGAAATTGAGAACTGCGATAAGGTCAGAATATAATATTCAACATTAGATGTTATGCTCTGTGATTGGGCAGCAGGTCAGGGAACACGGTTCCTTAGTGCATTCCCCGTTACACATCTCAACAAATCAGGGCCTACTTTCCTCCTTAAAACGGGTAACTGCACCCTCGTATGTCATCAACAGCAATGCCTTGACCAATTTCACTCGTCAACCAATCAGCAGTATGAGTCTAAATTGCTGTTGCCATTGAGTATTGATATTCTTGCAGGTATCCAGATGAGTACCAGACTAAAAATTTTAACGTTGCATTTTTGTTTTAAGCAGTATAAATACTGACCAGTTTATTTTATGGAATCCACAGCTTGCTTAAATTATATTATAAATGGAAAGTCTGACAAGGTCTCAAAGTTACAATTATTATCTGCATGTGCAAATCCTTTTCGTCACCCTCTCAACCGTTGTAATCTATTCCAACCCTCCAGGATGTAATTAAAGCTATGAGACCCAACAGCATCCTGACTGTGGTGCCAAAGATGTGGGCTCCAGAGCTGGTCCTACCTCTAGTCAAGCTGTTTCAGTAGAGCAACACTACCGGTATCTACCTGTCAAAGTAAAAAAGTGCCCAGTTATGGCCTGCCCATACAAAGCAGGACAAATTTAACCTGGCTAATTGCTGCCTCACCAGCTGAATCTCCATCAGGAAAATGATGGAGGGTGTCATTGCCAGAGCTTACAAATGGCACTTAGTCACAAATAACCTGTTAGCCGATGTTTGGCTAACTGGACTGGCCATATAAATACAGTGGCTACAACAGCATATCAGAAGTTGGGAATTCCCAAAGCTTTCCACTACCTACAAGACATAAATGAAGAGTTTAATGGAATATTCACCACTTACCCAGATAAGTACATCTCTAACACAATTTGACAAGCCTGATGACTAACCTGGACTAAGAGCCTGCTTGATTGGCACACCTTCATCAGCTTGACCTACATCCTATCACCGCTTTAAACACTCATTCCCCCACTATTGTCATACAATAGCAGCAAAGTGCATCATCTCAACTCACCAAAACTCCTTCGACAGCACTTTCCAAACACGTGAACTTTACAAACTTGAAGGACAAAGGTAGTAAATACACAAAATCATCACCACCTACAAATGCTCCTCTAAACCTGCTGGATGTATGTTGCAGTTTCTTCACTGTCACAGGTTCAAAATCATAGAACATCCTTCCTAACAGCACTGAGTGTACACCTACATCACATGGACTGCAGAGGCTAAATAATATGACTCACCACCACCTTCTCACGCAATGAGAATTGGGTAACAATGCTGGCTGAGCAAGTGACATCCACATCCCATTGACAAACAAACAGTCTTGGTGCTTGTTTAACTCTGGCCTCTTGTTCATGCTGATTTTCATTGCTCCACCATTAGTGCAGTTTTCAACTGCATTGATGTTAAACTCTGGAATCCTTCCCACAAATCTGTACAGCTATCCAGAGCTTACTATTTGAACAAACTCTTGGTCACCTGTCCTCGTATCTCCTTCCATTGTTACATGGCAAATTTTACTTGATACTTGGGTAGCCACTTTGGATATTTTTAAGCCATTAATGGCTATTCATAAATACCAAGTTGGTGCTGAGTTGGGTCTGGACTTTGCAAGGGAATCATCTTTGCAGCTTGGGAGGAGATTGCTTGGCACGTCCTGGGTTTGACACTGCATAGAATCCCTACAGTGTGGAAGCAGGCCATTTGGCCCATCGAGACCACAGTGACCCTCCGAAGAACATCCCACCTAGACCCACCCCACTACCCTATACCTATAACCCTACATTTCCCATGGCTAATCCACCTAGCCTGCACATCTCTGGACACTATGGACAACTTAGCATGGCTAATCCACCTAATCAGCACATCTTTAGACAGTGGGAGGAAACCCACACAGACATGAGGAGAAGTGTAAACTCTACATGGACAGTCAACCAAGGCTGGAATCAAACCCAGGTCCCTAGTGCTGTGAGGCACAGGGCTAACCACTGAGCCACTGTGCCACCTCATGTAATGATTGTCTCATTGCAGTTATCCCTGTCTTCAATCCCATGCATTTACATTCAAAGACTGGAGGAGGACTCACTTCTTATCGAATAGCTAAACTGCAGGCAGGCAGTACAAATTACAGAGCCATTGGCACATGAAAATTGTATGTACTGATCTAAGGTCAGAATGAACTACATTCTCAGTGACTGCATCACAATTTGATTCTTCAGACAGCACAAAGTTACAGAGTTGAACAAAGCATCTTGTTCACATGGGTCTGTCAAGATGCCTGCTCCCAGAAAAAGGATGAATAAAGAAAACAAAAGGACACCTCAATTCCACTCTTTGCAACAAATATTGGACCTGTAACATTTCATCTTAGGGTTTAAACTACTGCACACAGCATAAAGCTTTATTCTCACAGATAAGGAGTTGTTTTTAATTCCTCACTGGCAGGATCGGTAAACCAATGAGACAGATTTAAAGTAACTGGGGGAGAGATGAGATATGAGATGAGTGTTTTTTTTTTTAAACAGGCTCAGCAAGTGGATAGGATCTGAAATGCACTGCCTAAAAGGCCAGCAGAAACAGATTCAACTGGTACCTTTCAATAGTGAGTCATATAAATCCCTGAAAGAGAGATATTCACAGCACTATAGTTAAGGAATTGGACAGTGAAACAATGAGTAGTTATAACTGGGTAGATGTTTGAAAGCAAGGGAATGATGGGCCAAATGTCCCCTTTCACCTTTGTTTGATTTGATGATATTCCTTTCTCAGGACCCCTAAACATCCACCACCTTCCATATGAAAGAGGAAAATGAAAGTTTAAATTGTTTCATTTCCTGAAAGAGTTCAGGAGTCCATTTGACAGATTTGCTACAGTGGAGGAGTGCAGATCAGGCCTGCTTTAAGAATCATACAGAACATAGTACAGGAGATATATTTTTAAAATGTTTGATTGTGTGGGATGCTGGTGGTTGGCCAGTTTGTGGTCACTTCAGTTTGATTACTGCCAGCTGGGAGCAGCCTGCCTGCGTGTACAGGAAACACGCATCATCTCTCACATTAAAGCCATTCAAAAAAGGTGACGAGTCCTTTCAAGTGGCTGAATAATGAGCATCAAGAGATAAAATCCATTCTGTCATTGGTGATGCTTAATCCTTGCTGTCGAGGTACAAGGTAGTAGAGTGCATCACTTGTAACTGCCAATTTATCGAGAGGACAAGACTCTGTTACAGCAGGCAGTGTAGCAAGGCTACCACTTGCTGGGGTCTTAAACAGCTCTGTGCACTGTGCCTACAAGCTGGAGCTGTTTTTCAGTCTGAGTTTTCCTTAGTTTCCAATCGACCAGCTCATACCTTAGAATTTGCCACGTCCCCATAGAACCTCCACACGCTCTGGCCTCAAATCCCATTGCTTCTGCATCCCTTCCAAACCCAAGGAACCCCAGTAGTAGTCTCAGGGCCTGCAACCTCCCAAAACAAATAGGCAGAACATCCTTCCCCATGTCTGATCCCTCCATCATCTGAGCACAAATCTTAGCAATACAAGAACTGCAAGATGTATACGAGATAGAATAAAGGGAGAAGTATGCATGAAGAAATAGAAATAAGATGGCAGGGGTAGAGATGGCAACACTGATAAAGAAGAAAGACAAGAAAAGCGAGAACACATGAGAGAGAAAGGAGTAAGAGGGAGAAAGAGAATGAGGGAAGAGTGAGAGAAAGAAGGTTAGCAAAAGAGAAAGAGGAACTGAAGTGATGGGAGGAGACGGCAAGCAAAGAACAGTACAATGCAAACTTGGGGACAGTGACTGGGAGATCTGTTTTGTCATTTAGCAACATCATTAGATATTATCAACTTTTTACAGTAGCACACAAGCTGCTCATCTCAAAACTAAAAATGTTGAGTATTTACTGGTCAGTGTGCTCTGGTGGAACGTTTCAAATTGAAACTCAGCAGAGGGACTCTGTACCCATTCAGTTCCATTGATAAAAGATTGTGCAAAAGGTTTGCTTTTTGCATCAGTTATATTGTGACTATGTCGAAAGCTTGCATGGACGGTCGGGTTTATCAAAACCATCAAGTAATGTCAGCAATGTTAGGCTGATGGTGATATTGCTTTGAAACTCTTGGTACTTAAATAAATCAACTCAACTAACTCAGTGAAAACCTGCGGCACTGGAACAAGAGCTCAAGTGAAGACCAGTCCTGTGATCAATCTGTGCCTGTCGTTTTCTTTTCACATTGAATTGTCGGCCAAGTTCTTCATTACTCTGAAAGCTAAGACAGATTAAATTGCATTGTACTATGATGACATAACCCTCCGGTTCCATTTCTGATGCACAGGGAAATAGATTAAAAGGGCCTTAATTTCAACAAAAAAAGCATCAGCTCAAATCATGGCATTTCCCCAAACCACAAAATGCCACAAAGTCATGAAGACCTTTAGCCATTGAGGTTTGAGAAATGATTATTACACAGATATGAATGACGCTGTGGGGAGACATGCCACCACAATCCCCAGTTTCTGTTAAGTGAAATATGTTAGTGTAAAGGTATATCAGGACATGACGAGTAACAGACACCAGCTGGTTAATAACCACACAACAAACAGCTGGAAACTATCAGTCATGTCACAAGCTGCCTCCAGCTCACAAAGCCACATTGCTCACCCAATCTAATTCAGCCATATTGAAATTTAATATTCTGAAGGTTGCTAGGAAACTGGTTACCTGGCAACAGTGACATAAAGTAAAATGACGGAACTTGAGGAAGTGTTATCAGAAATCTTTTCCCAGGACCTCCGATGCAAATCACACCCTGTTGCATACACAAGTATTTTGGTTACCTTATCAGTGAAAACCCCACTGCTGTTCACATTAGAATGTTCTATCAGTGCTGACATGCTACAGATGCACACCTCGTCCATCACTGGCGTGTTTTCATAATAACCCTTGCACTCAGACGTCATGCTTTCAACAACAGGAGGTATTTCCCCGGGAACAAATAATGGGGTATCTGGTTCCACCAAAGGCTGCACATGGTCACATTCTGACTGTGTTTCAGATTGACTTTCAACTACCGTATCCCAGTAACAGGTCTCTTGTGTGAGTGTATTCTCCTTTCCTTCCTCTATTGTTGCTTCTTCCAGATCTGCCTGTTGTGCCTCAAAAAACTTGGGCATAATCTCTGCTGGGGTGGATATGAAGTTAGATTTCCCATCAAGACTTTCTTTGCCAACACAATTTTTCACATTGTATTCCATGGTATTTTCATTTCCCTCAAAATCAGTATCTTCTCTTGCATTATGCTCAGAAACCAACTCTAAGGCCATAATTAGTTCTGCCTCTTCAGTTGGGGAGACTCCATAGTCTTCACTCTTTGTGATAGAGGGCACACTTTTAGGCGCGCGTGACAACATTTGCTCTTCGCCAGAGGTGACACTGGGCCCAATTCTTTTGGCTTCATGGTCCCTTGTTAAATGTACTCCATCCACAGAGGATAAACTCCTGTAACGAATTTTATCACTGTTAGCCCATGGGTACCTTTGTGCTTTACTTGCAGAGGGACTGGACAGCCCAGAGTCCTCCTCTGAAGTGAGTGAGCCGCTGGTGCCCTTGTCGCGGCTCCAGGTGGACAAAGTAGCAGCCTCTGTACTTTCACAAGGTGAAGCCTCTGCTCGGCTGGGGTAGTCTGTGAAGGGTGGAACAAATGTCCTCCAGGACCGCCGGTTTTCCCTTTTCTCCACCACAGCTTTCACCTTGGGAGCACCAGCGGTTCGGATGGCATCACTGTTAAGCTTCAGGGCATCAAAGATCATTTTCTCGTCCAGTCGGGTGCTCTCTCTGGCCCTCAGCTCAAGAGCACCGGGGGCTGATAATGCACCATTGCTAGAGAAGGGGGCAGATTCTAGTGTCCTCTGGCTGTATGGGAGGTAACGCTCTGTCAAGTGTCTTGAAGCCAGGCTGCCCTTTGAGCCTGAGTCTATCTGTTCATTCAGTCTCACTGTGTCATAGATGGATCTTTGGGGAACATAACAATCTTCAATATTAATGTCCTCTTCCTCAGTTATCCCCACACAGGCTGGATTTTGACGTAAGCAGTCAGGCCTACTCAGTGGTTTCCCCATTTTGTAGGATTTTTTTGCTATGGCATTATGCAGTTGCTCCAATTTTTAAAAAAAAACCCTTTCACAATTTTAAAGGCAGCCAAATGAAATCAAACCTACAATAAACATGTGTCCCAGCTAAAGCTAAGTGAACACTGGTTTGTTGAAACCTGCAGTTAATAAAAATATTTTTAAAACTCATGCATTGAGACTGCATTTAAAGGAGGACTTTTAAAAACAAAAACAAAATTCCAGTGCAATGGTGACTGTTTAACTTTACCTGATTATAATCTGGTGCGGGGTGGGAGTGGAATTGATTCTGTATAAAGTGCGCAGGCTGTTAGTTTGGCAGTGTTAAAAAAAACACAACAGTAAGTTCAGAAGGTCTTTCAGTCAGAAATTCCGTGCCTTCTTTTTCCCTCAAGCCCCTCTGCCCTTTAACCCCTCCCCCTACTTCAATTCTTTTTAGCAGCAAGAAAGGTATGTACAGACAGCACTGTAATTTCAGCTGATCCCCATCACCGGGGACTTTGCAAAAGGAAGGAATCCTTCAGCTGAACACAACAGCTCTGGCGTTGTCTCAGTGATTACCCTCAATCCACTTGCAGGCAAAACAATTCACAGTAACAAGCAAAGAAACCTCCTCATCGGACAAAACGAATCACAGCAGTGCATTCATCTAGTCTGCGTTCAAAACCCAAACCTCTGACGATCGCAGAACACAAGTCACTTTGGGTTTTTTTTAAACATATAAAAAGGAAACCACACTTTCTGTTGAAGACAAAGGCACATCAACTTGTATTTTTTTCCTCCCCCCTTTTTTGTCACAAAGCTAGTTTTTCCTCCTGTATTGATTTGACGATTGGCTTCTCTCCCTCACTCACTCATGTTAAACCTCTTGCAGCCTGTCTTTAATTCTGCAGTACAATCCGCGGGCTCGTGAGAGCAAATCTTTCAGTGCAAAATGTTTCAGAAACAAACGCTGCTGCTGATTTTTTTTAATATATATCCCCTCGTCCTCGAAGCAAGTTCTTCAAGCACAGAGCGGGACGAGTTCCTTCCAGTCGCCCAGCCTTGCGAGCAGTGTGTCCAATCGAGGGTTCATGGTTCCGGGAGGAGAAGTTGGGTCTCAGTCACAGGCAGCGAGGCGCGGACTGTGAGATCCCCGCGGACACAGGCTCTGGGGTGGGAGGAAGACATGGGAGCAGGGCGGCGTGGTCACCGCTGAGGAAGCAGGCATGGAGCGCCCACAGCAAAGCTGTGCAGCCTTCCCTCCCCGGAGCTGAGAAACCTTCAAAAGATCCACAGTGGAGTGACGCCCCTTTCTCATTCTTCAGCCAACATCTGTTACAGTCCCGGTTGGTGCACTCTACAAACGTGACCGGCCGCTTCATTCGACCCCCGGCGACCTCTTCTGTCACACCCCCGCCCCCGCTTCTTTTGTGTTCGCGCCCACCTCATTTCTCAGCCACATGTTCCGTTTCCAAGAGAGCCCTTAGTTATTTCGGCCTCGGGTTCCCCGGCTGATGCCACATTCAGCAGCAAAGCATTGCCAACCTCAGTACATCACCCTGCTCGGGGGACATGGCAAGGGGAAACTGGACCTGGTGTGGGCCTCCCTTTTTGGTCTCACCTTGTGGATATCACTTCAATCCCCATTTTCATCAACCTGGATCAAGGGGGAAGAAGGGGAGATGTAGAAACCAGGGCTGATCTGATCCCAGCGCGTGACCAAAACCCCCAAGCTATGTCAGAAACCTACGGTGCCAAAGAGTCCATTCAGGCCATCGTGCCTGTGATAGAACTATCCCAATAGTCTCACTCTCCACACTTCTCCTTCAGAGGCTTACAATTCTTCCCCTCAAATAATTATTCAATTCCTATTTTAAATTGCTACTAAACTTGAACAGGATTTTTTCCCCCAATCACAAAACATTGATTCTACTTTCCACAGATGGTGCCAGGCCTGCTGAGATTCTCCAGCAATTTCTATTTTGTTTCAGTGGGTTTGCTTGTTGTCCAGTGTCCTGACCTTCCATCCAGTCACATAATGTTCACTGTGTTGCTGCTCCTGGCACCTATAATCTCATTAAACATAGAAAGCAATGTCTACAGATGGTAGCTGCTCCAGGTGCCCTTGCTGTCACAAAAATATAACCAGTGGTGCAAGGTCACTGCAAAGATGTCACTGCATGACATCCCACAGTGAGGCACATCAGAGTAGACAGAAAATCCAATCTTGAGAAATTGCTGGTTATGTCTCAGCTGGACAACTGGGGCCAATTCTGGGCAGTCCACATCACAAAGGACGTAAATGTCTTGGAAAGGGTGCAGAGGAGATTTGCTAGAATGAGACTGTGTGCAGAGATAGAAGAAACTGGGATTTTTCTTGGAGCCATGATCACTAGGAGGAGATTTAGAGTCATACAGATGTACAGCATGGAAACAGACTCTTCAGTCCAACTTGACCATGCCAACCTGATAACCTGAATTAATCTAATCCCATTTTCCACCATTAGGCCCCATCCCTCTAACCTTTCCTATTTATATACCCACCTAGATGCTTTTTAAATGTTGTAATTGTACCAGCATCCACCATTTCCTCTGGCAGTTCATTCCATAGGTGCACCACCCTCTGCGTGAAAAAGTTACCTATTTAGGTCCCTTTTAAATCTTTCCCCTTTCTCCTTAAACCTATGCCCTCTGGTTTTGGACTCCCTTACCTTGACTAGTCACCCTAACCACGCCCCTCATGATTTTATAAACTTCTAGAAGGTTACCTCTCAGTCTCCAGTGCTCCAGGGAAAGTGGCCCAGCCTATTCAGCCTGTCTGCATAGCTCAAACCCTCCAACCCTGGCAACATTTAACAAAAGAATTCAAAATCGAAGGGTTTGTAGGGAGAAATTGGTTCCAATGCCTGGGGAGTCAGTAACTAAAGGTCACAGATTTAGGATCATTGACAAAAGAAGCAGAGGGAATGTGAGGAGAATGGTTTATGCAGTGAGTGATGATAATCTGAAATGCACTATCTGAAGGGATGGTGGAAAAGGGCCCAATAGTAAAATTCAAAGGGAAACTGGATAGATATTTACAAAGAAAAATGTGAGAGGGGTGGCAAAAGCAGGGAGGAGATTAACTGGATGGTTCTTTGAATATTCTGGCACAAGCATTGGGTGCTGATTGATATTTCTCACCCTCTCTGCAAAGGACATTGGAGTCAACTTTTACCATTATTGTGGTTAGTAAAGCTGCCAGTTCTATACATCACCCATTTGGGTACAGATATTCAGGCAGGGTTGTAGAACAGCACGCCAATTCCTAACCTCCAGTTTTAGTCCACACCCCATTACCTCCAAAACTACACCCCCTGCTCAAACAAAGTTTAATGATAGTTTCCTATGAACTCTACTGGTTATAATTCTCCAGCTGCCTTCTGGTACCTTTACTTGGTGGTCATGATGTTTTTTGATTTGCATCTCTAAATGTTGAATTTGAACAGGCTACTCCTCTGAGAAATTAGACCTGATCCTTCTATTTGCAATGTAGTGATTATTGGTATCTGACTAAGGACAACGACAATGTGTGTGACATCTGGCTAAGGTCTGGGTCAGCAACAAGTGATACCATCATAGTAATGGTAAATTGGTGCAAAACTCCAAATGCTTCACTGATATAAGCTGTTCTCAGTTATAATGGCTGTGATATGATCATGATTGTAATACTTTATCTGGTTAACTAATGTCCTTTAAGGAAAAAAATCTGCCATCCTTACCCAGTATGACCTACATATTACCCCAGACCCAATGTGGTTGACTCTTAACTGTGTAGCCTCAAAGCTACACAATTCAAGAGCAGTTGGGGATGGCCAACAAGACATTTCTCCAATGAAGGAATAAAGAGAAAAAAATAGTCTGCACAGAAAGGAGCCTACTAATTCTACCTTCAACTTAAAACTTGCACCATGTAGTAGCTTTTCAATGAAATGGGCCAGCAAGCCACTTGTACCTGCTGAACAAAATTACCAGTGTGCGCAGTCTTGAGATAACCAGTGATGGGCAAAAAGTGCATGTGTCCACATTCCACAAATCAATTAAAAAAGATTGCATGCACTTCAAGATATGGAACAGTAGTGGTCAATCTTTCTTCTCCTAAGTTCAGGTATCATTAAGGCCACATTATTGCTTTTCCATTATTACCCTGATTGAGGGTAATCAACCACTCAGCAGTGACTAGTGAATATCACCAAGTGACATATCCACCAAGGGAGGAAAAAAGAGAACCATTTTCAAACACACTGGACAATCTTATCGTCCACGGTTCAAAGAAACCGATTCATGCACTGATGTGGAATAAACACTGAACTGAACGAGAAGGATGGATGTGTGAAATCTAAACTCTGAGGTCTAGCTTGACTCATTAATCCATCTAATTAAGATAAAGTTTCCCGATGCAGGACTCTTACTGGCCATTTAAAAGGCAGAATTGACTATTTTATGGTCCGAGGAACCTGATGCTTTTCTCCAAGCTAGAAATGGTGCATCAGTAACACATCATTGCTTTTAATTGTAAATCTTTTAATTTTCTGTAGCCTTGTAAGATATTAATTCCTCAAGTAACTGCATTTACTTTAATGTCAGTGAGCCAGTAGTCACACATCATAATCTGATCATCTCTCCATACTTCAGCAACATTAAAAACTCTTTCTGAAACAAGGCTAAAAACATTGCTGTACTGTAGTTACAGTCCCAATAATAATTGACTCAAATATTCTGAAGGCAGACAAAACCAATTAAGGACTTTGAAACCAATGTCTGAGAGAACAGAGGCCAAAGTAATGCAATAAACCAACACAATGTCAAATCCCTAGTAAGATTAAGTCATTATTAAAAATACCCCAGGCCCCAGACGTCACGAAGTTTGTTAAAAAAAACCTTTTATTTAAAACTAATTGTCCAATCACAGCTGCTTTGGAGTGGTTTTGAATGGGGTGAAGATGACAAACTGTCTCCTGGCAAAACTACGTACTCCTGAGCTCCATTTCAAAACACATTAAAAGCAACATATTGGGAAAACAAACCTTTCCAATAATGACTGAAAACACCAGGCAGTCAAAAAAAAAGTACACCAAAGCAAGTTCAGATAAGGAAAGTAAATCTGAGAGGAAGATAGTTCTGAACAAATTTTAGCTAAGGGTTTATCCTCCATCGCCTTTAATAAGGTGCTGAATTACATCAATCTCCTGTTGAGCATCTCTTTGAAATAGCTAAATCTCAGGGCGATGTCAATGCACATGGGATTTAACAAACATCAAAGCTGAGTTTCAAATTTGTGGAAAAGAAGGCATTTCACAAACATTCAGTCTGAAACCAGGCAGGAACTCATCCATGCTGTGCAGGTGCAAGAACTTGAATGGGCAATGGTGTCTTTCTGGAGTCCCAGAGTGGTTTACAGACAATTAA